ACGCACAGCAAGACGTGCAGCAGCATCGCGCGTGGCCCACTCAGAGCGAACAGTGGCGTCAGCATCAGCAGCAGGGGCAGGGGAAGCGCCAGAGGTGAGGTCAAAGAGAGAGAGGCCGTCTGCCCTATTGCACTGTAAGAACAGCTGCAGGTCATCTACCCAGACCTCAAAGTCAATGGCCCGACCCTCAGCGTCAAACGCGAGGACACTAGGGTAAGCCATGACCACAGTAGACTAGCAGTGCAGACAGTAGGGTGAGGGCAGTGCAGTGAAAGAGGCGGAGTGCTTACCGGACGGGGCAGCTCGGGCGGCTCGGCAGTAGGGCGGCTCGGCGGCTTAGCGGCTCGGCTACTGGGCGGCTCGGCGGCTGGGCGACTCGGCTGCAGTGCGGCTCGGCGGCCCGCCGGCTCGACTGTACTGCGGCTCGGCTGCTAGGCAGCTCGGCTGCAGGGCGGCTCGGCGTCTCGGCTGCTGGGCGGCTCGGCTGCAGGGCGGCTCGGCTGCTCGGCTGCTGGGCGGCTCGGCGGCTCGGCTATCCGGCTGCTCGGTTGCCCGGGCGGCTTGGCGTTGCTGTTGCAGGGCGGCGTGGCGGTCGGCTGCCCGGCTGGGTGAGGCGGCTCGGGCAGCTCGGTGGCGGGTGGCGCTGCAGCAGGGGACGGGGCCGCAGGTCCGGACGGCGGGGCCGGAAGTGAGAGCGGCGGGGCCGCCGGTGAGAGCGGCGGGGCCGCAGGTGAGAGCGGTGGGGCCGCATTTAAGGGCGTCGAGGCCGCAGGTAAGAGCGGCGGAGCCGCAGGTGAGAGCGGCGGGGCCGCAGTTGAGAGCGGCGGGGCCGCAGGTAAGAGCGGCGGAGCCGCAGGTGAGAGCGGCGGGGCCGCAGTTGAGAGTGGCGGAGCCGCAGGTAAGGGCGACGGGCCGCAGTTGAGGGCGGCGGGGCCGCAGGTAAGGGCTGCGGGGCCGAAGGTGAGAGCGGCGGGGCCGCCGGTAAGGGCGACGGGCCGTAGGAAGGGCGGCGGGCCGCAGGTGAGGGCGGCGGGGCCGATTAACGGGACGGCGGGGCCATGAGCAGGGCGGCCACGGGCCGTTACAAGGGCGGTGACGGGCTGCTGCAAGGGCGGCGACGGGGCCGCTGGTGAAGGGCGGCAGATTGGGGTGCAAGGGAGGCTGATCGGGGCCGCGGGAGGTCGCTAGGGCGGCGCGACGCAGCCGTTAGGGCGGCGCGACGCGACCGTAAGGGCGGCGCGACGGGTCGCTAAGGGCGACGTGACGGGCCGCTAAGGGTGACGCGACGGGGCCGCTAAGGAGGGCGCGACCCTAAGCGCGCTCCGGGCAGGGGCAGGACGCGCCCCGGGCAGGAAAAAAAAAAAGGATTGGTGGGCCCTAGGAACAGTTCCCACGAGGGAACTTGCTCGATACCATGAGAAAATAAGAACGAGGATGAATGAACTATGAATGAAGTGGGTACAAGTACTAACCTTAATTGGGCTGTACCCCTATGGGATACCCCACTACAGCCTACACAATAGTATAAGCTATAATGTTCTGACAAAGCGATGATGACGAGAGCAAGTTGTGCAGCATGTCAGCGTGGTCCATCGCGTCTGGCCACTAGTGGTTGGGTAATCGCATGCCACGTAACAGCTTGCGCATGCTGTTCTGCAGGGTCCTGTTCATTCTTTCTGCTACACCTTCCTGCTGATGGGCGTAGGGAAGGGAGATGAGCCGCTTGATTCCCCTTTCCGCCAGGTACTGCTTGAATCGCTGAGAGGTGTATTCTCCTCCTCCGTCTGACTGGAAGCTTTTCAACTTCACGCCCGATTCTCTCTCTGCTACTGGTAGCCAAGCAACGAAGGCTTCGAGGGCCATGTCGCGGCTGGGGAGGTTTAGGTGCCAGACGTAGCAGGTGGCGGCGTCAATGAAGGTGATCGTGTAATTTTATGCTCCTTGTCTTGGTTCCCGATTGTACAGGATGTCGCTGTACACTTTCTCGAGTGGTGCGTAGGCGGGTGCGCGCGGGTTGTGATGAGAAGTGAATGGCCGATGTGGTAAGTCGGCCTCTGGGCAGGTAAGGCATGTTGCTCGTGCCCGTTGAAGTTCTCTGCCGTCGAGTAGTAGTAGCAAGTCCTTGTCAAGGACTCCTGCTCTTATTGTGTTATTTAACACTGTGTTGCTTGGGTGTCCCATGCGTGCGTGCCAGATGTCTTCGGAGGCACGGTGTCCGGGTGAGCGTCGGTACGCGTCGGAGTTGGAGTAGAAGCCGGTGGTGAAGTTTGCACTTCTGTGGGCTTCTCGTTGAGCCGGATTCAGCTGCTGCGCGGGTGGCGGTGGTGTTTCATCAACGAGGACTGGTGTCGTTGAAGGACCAGCGATCGGTGTCGTTGTTACTGCTTCTGCCATTGTTGTTCCTGCTGCTGCCGATGTTGTCTCTGCTGCTGCCAATGTTGTCTCTGCTGCTGCCGATGTTGTCTCTGCTGCTGCCGATGTTGTCTCTGCTGCTGCCGATGTTGTCTCTGCTGCTGCCGATGTTGTCTCTGCTGCTGCCGAGTGTTGAATTGTTACTAACCCACGTGTTCATTCTGCTACAGGGATGGTATGTGAATACCAGAAGCCTTCCGTACTGAAATCGGGGTCTAGATCCGGTGGGTGCATCCAAGATGTGAAGGTGACGATCCCGTCACTGTCCGCGGTGCCCAAGTCTGGGACAAAATCAAGAACGAAGACATTGTTTTTCAGGATTGCCTTTCTGATGTAGAGGCTGCCCTTCCCGTGGTACAGCTTAAACTCCTGAGTGGTGCTGTCGGCTTCGAGATGTATCCCCTTCGCCATCAGTTGACTGACGCTCAGTAAGTTGTAGCCTAATCCTTCTGCTATTAGAACCTTCGACATTTGCAGGATGACGCTTGTCTCTCGTGACTGAAGTTGCACCACACCTTGTCGTCGTGTGCGCAGGTTCTGATTATTGGCGACAGTGATGACGACTTCTTGTTGAAGCTGGTGCTCGCGTTGAACGAAGTGTCCTGAAGAGCACATGTGTTGTGCGCAGCAACTATCCAAGAACCATGTATCCTTTCCGGACGGCTCGCTTTGAGCGATGGCGGCGTACGTCGGATTCGGTTGAAGTGACTCGCGGCAAGGCGTGCTGTTGTCGAGGTGCTCTTCTGGTGAGTAGTGTGGTGGTGACTCGGTTACGCAGGAGTCAGTTAGCTTCGCCATGCAATTGACGATGTTTCTTGTTTCTTTCGCAGGTTGTCCCGTCGGTGTTGTTGAGACTTGTACTGAAGTTGTCGGATTCGCTTGTGTTGAAGTGACTTGGCTACTTGAAGGTCGAAGCTGCCGTTGCGGTGGAGTTGACTGTTGTCGATTTGGGCAGTGCGTGCACGGGTGTCCTGATGTCTTGCAGATGTGGCAGAATGGAGGTACGAGCTTCGGTTGTTGTTGTTTGTAATTGTTGTAGCGTCGCTGAGTGTGGAACGCAAATTCCGGTGCTGATATCTTCTTCTTGTGTCGTTCTTCTTGTAGGTCCATGTCTTGTTGCTTGGCATGGATTTCGGCGCAGAGTGTTGCTTCGGAGATTCTTCCGTGGGCTCGGAGAATGGCCTTTGTGGCGCGCCATTGAGGACCGAGGCCGCCGATGATGACTGCCACGAAGGCGTCTTTGGAAATTGACCCCCCGCATCGCAGGAGCTTGTCGCGCAACTCGGGACAACGACTAATATACGCCATTCCTTTCTCGCCTTATTTCATTTCGACCGTTGTCAGTTGCGCCATTAACCGACCTTGACTTACGATGTCTGTTGCTTGATACAGGCTCTTCAAGTGGTTGTACGCGAGCTCCGCGGAATTCCCGTAACCCCGGTAAGACCGTATGTTCTGTGTTGAGTTGGGGTGATGTTCCTCAGTAGAATCGTGTACGCCATCATCGACTGATAGGTGTACTGCTGCTTATCATAATGTGTGCCGTTCGTTGGGTATGGCAGGGACCCGTCGAAGAAGCCGAGTATCTGCGCGCCTTCCATCATTAATTCAAATTCAAACAACCAGGTGAAGAAATCTTTTCCATCGAAAGGCCTTGACGTCTGCATCTTCAGGACGTGCACGAACTGCGACTGAACTTGTAGTGCGTACAGTGACTTTTCTTGTCCAGGTGAGGGCTGCGGGTGTGGCATGAAGCCAATGGACCCGCGCTCATACGGAGCAAAGGTAGGCTGCTGCTGTTGATGTCCTCGTGCGTATGATGAGCCGTCGAGACTCATGGGGGTTGCTTCGTTGTTGTTGCTATTGTGTGACTGCGCAGGTACCGATTGCTGGTGTTGCTCGTAGAAGGACATGAAGGAGAAAAATTTCTCCATCATGCTTTGGTCGAAGTCTGCAGGTTGATTTGCAGGAATCTCAGTGGATGTTGCCCTGGGTCTTTTTGCCGTACCCTCCTCTGTCTGTAGGCCAGAGGCAGGAGGTGGAGTAGGATTAGTGCCCTGGGAGCCGTCAGAAGAGCTCCTTTCCTTTTGTGTAGCCATGCTTGTTGATGCTGTCGGTATTTTAATAGAGGTCGAATTCTCCCTGACTGCTCTCATACCATGTTGGGCTGAAAAGGGCCCTTAGGATCTTTACAAGGATGAACTGTGGGTAGGATTGTAATAGCGGAAGCGTTTGAATGAAGTTCTTGAACCACCTTGCGCTGGTACCGTATTCTCCCGGACAAAACACTCCCCCATGTTAGAGCACCCCCGGGTAGCTTGTGCGGGGTGGGTGCTATGGGCGACCTCATTTTCACTATATCCCCCATTTTGGCTGATTCTCTATAAGGCCCGGGGGGGTGCTATAGTCGGGAAAAACGATAACTTCGTTTACATTTCATACAGGTGAAATTACAGCAACTACAGAAGTCATGCGCCAGCACCTAGACATTATCAATGTCACCTAGACTGCATCTCCATAGCCACATGGTCGCCACACACTAGAAATCAACAACAAGTTCAACTACAGAGAGTTCTACTTAGTGCTTTTCACTCTGAATCGTCCCCAGCATGCCACTCGTCACATTCTTCCCCGTCATAGCAGCCAGGGCGCCACCACTCGTCATCGCTGGGTTCTTCTGCCTCCCCGCCTTCTTCAAGCGCGACCCCTTCCTCCTCTTCTGCCGCCGCCTCCGCGTCCTCCTCGGTGGCGTCCTCCTCATGTGCCGCCGCCTGCAGCTCCTCGGCCGGCATGGGGACTTCGGCGTAGAAGCGGTTGACGACCGTTTCGTCGTCAACCAGGTCGTTGACATCGTCAAGGACATCCACCTCACTCCTGTCCCGCATGTGGGCAAGAATGAGGTGGTCCTCGCTGCCATCGATGGGGGTGGAGATCCCGCACGTCATGAACGCCTTCTTCACGAGCTCCTCTGGGATTGCTTCCCAGGATTCATCGATCCAGCGGAGCACCAGCTCCGCTGGCGGCTTCTTGAGATTGCCTGGGGGACAGGGAAGGCAAGTCATGGACGAAGGTGAGCATACAGAGCGCACGCTGACACCAATTGAACGGATTGCAAGCGGGACATAGTGCTGCAACTCACCGGCCTTGGTGGTGAGGTTGATGCCCTCTTCTTTAAACCAGAGACTGTAGCGGTGACGCACCCCGCACTTGAACGCGCGGTTCACCGACACATCTAGAGGCTGCATCAGCGGTGTGTAGCCCCCTGGGATGACAGCACGAGACAGCCAAAACATCTGCATGGTCTGCCCGACCGCCTCGGTCAAATGGCCGCGGTAGGAGTCGAGCACAACCAAGCCCTCCCAGCAGCGGCCGGTTGTCTCACGCAGGGGCTTCAGAAACGGCACCATCACCTGTGTGATCCAATCCTGCACCAGGGCTTCGTCCATCCACCCTTTCTCCTGTGCACGGACCACCACACCTGCCAAACAACACAAGCACGTCAGTTTCGGTTGCTTTGCTAGACAGGCAAGTGCACGGACAAATCATAATCATGTGTTGCTTACCGGCAGGGATGGCCACCTTTGGGATGGTCTTGCGCTTGAAAACCACGAACGGCGGAAGCTTGAGCCCGCTCGCTGTTACTGCCAGCATGACAGTAATACGCTCCTTCTCATAGCCCGCACTCCGTACGTGGACCGTGCGCGCTCCCTTCATCTCGAGCGTGCGCTCCGCCGGCATCTCCAGGAACAGCGGCGTCTGGTCCGCGTTCACGATGAGATCGAGCGGGTAGTCATGGAGAGAGCACACCTGGCGCACGAACTCCCAGAATGACTCTACCTTGGCCTTGCAATCTACGGGCAGAGAAACGAGAAACATTAGAAAACAATTGCCACGAGAAACAATAGAGAACAACAACATCACTTACCCGCAGCCAGCTTCTGTCCCATCTTCGTCTTCACCCGCCTCGCCAAATGTCAGCGCGCGCGGAAACGAGTCGCCCACCAGAACGAAGCGCGCCAGTTCAACCCGGGCATCCTGTGCTTCATGTACTTGGCGCTCCACTTCTGGAGCATGCTGACTGTGACGGCAAGGCCCTTCGCCCGGTGCTTCAAGAAGTGGCGGTAGACCGCGCGTTCCATGAACGGGTACTTGGACTTGCGCCCATGCCCCATGAGACGACGGCGGCAGCTGGAAGCGACCTCCAGCCGCTCCCTCATCTACTTCCATTCGCGGATCTGGCAGGGCTGCACCTACACGAGTTTTGCCAGGGCGCGATTGGAGATGTCGGGCCGACTGTCCTGCATCTTCAACCAGTGGAGTTTCTCCTTCGCGCTGATGGTGTTCCGCTGGCGTTTCATCATGCGGTGGCGAGGGCTTGGCGGGGCAGCATCGGCGTTGCGCTTGATCTGTCCCTGCGGGCGGTTACGCTCAAGAAATGTGGGGACAACCACACGAGGAAGAGGGGGGCGAGGAAGGTCAGAGCTAGTGCTCGGTTCATCCCGAGCTGAAGAACTGCCGGAAGCATCCGGCTGGGGCAAGATAGGGCAAAGAGACGTCCTCGCGCGTGCAGCACCGCCGCTCTGAACGGTAAAATGGCGCTTTCTCCTTTCAACGGTACTGCTAGAATCTGGAGATGACGCCATGCTAGACAACTACTGGGGGGATGAAGTCACTCTCCATGGCGGACGAGATTTTAAAATTGAAAGAACAAGCACCAAAAGGAGGCGCTCTCACAGCCAGCCGAGCTCTTGTCAAAGACGTGCACTGGAGCCGCTTAACGAAAGGGAAGGTGAGGGCCATGTGAGGAGGCCTTGACGTGACCAAATGGATGACAAGAAGTCACAGGTACAGTGACCTCTCAGCACCGTGGGCGACTCGGACCATGTACAGCATTATACTGTGCATGAACACAAGCTGCGCAATGTTGGCGTTGCCGTCATCGAAGCTGCCTCAATTGGTCCACTGGAATTTGCCATGTGGCAAATTCCAGTGGGGGGTGATGTTATCACCGAGGACTCGGTTTTGCGGCCCCGTTCAACAAAGTAAGAGTGACGACAGAATACTATTTTTGTTTACTTTCATTTCTGCTTAGAAAAAAATGTTCAATATAATAAGACCCGGGTATTATGTAGCTTTTCCCTATGAGAAGACACCCCCCTTTTTTCCCTGTATTTTTTAATATACCCTAGGGTGTTATGTCCGGGAGAAAACGGTATGTGAGAGCAAAGTAAGTTAAGTAAAACAAAGGGATACAGGATTATATGAGTACAAGGGATACTAGCATATACATTTGTAACTGTTTTGCTGTTACGGTTCGATACAGTGCCACTCGGGCAACTGCTCAATATCGAGTCAGTTGTGTGTCCTTGCTGTCGCGCTGCATTTGTCAGGTCAAAGGTCGCTGACCTTGACTTTCGCGTAACCTCTGACGGTTGTTTCAACCTCCGAGGGTTGACTTGCCAATGCTTCGATATGCTTTGCTTCGCTTGTGCCTTGGTGTTTCGACACGACAGAGGCGCTTAAGACCGATTGTTTCCAACAATGCCTTCGCTCATTGTACTCTTGCTTCGATAGTGCAATTCTCGCTTGCTCACTCAATTGCACTCGTAACAAACAGCTTTGTTTTCAGCAAATTTCTTTTCTGGGACAACAATATTCTTACCTATTAGAGAATAACTAATGAGAAAAAACTTCTTCACATCGCCAAGAAATCATTTTAACACCTTCAGGGAATAGAGCAATACCGTATGGCCCCGGATATAGGCGTCGTCCGATTAAAGGCGCCGGCGCTTCTATCTGGAGCATGGCGCCTGAATTCGATTATAAGTGCCCCCCCTAGAAAACATTTACTTATTATAAGCGCATATGCGATTTGAATTGAAATTATTTCCTAAAACAGTAACGAAATCCATTTTTGCCGCGAGCCAGATTTCAATTTCGCTTCTTTTGACTGACCTGACTGGCTGCGCGTCTAATCAGGAGGTGCTGGAATGACGTGGCTTTGCCTGTGTGTGAACCCAGAATATGGCTTGCGCAAGATTCTGCATTGTGACGCTAAAACATTTCGACTCGGTTGAAATGGCAAAAAGAAAATGAACAATTTGGTGCTCTAAATATACAATTTCGTATTTGTCATTATATAAGCGCCGGCGCTTATGGCCGTTACTCAATTACAAGTGCCCCCCCTCAAAAAAATGATTTTATTATAAGCGCATATGCGCTTATAGTATCCGGGGTAATACGGTAGTACATAGTGTGAGGATGCATGGGGCCTGTGTATGCGAGTGAGAGGAGTAGATGAGATGCATGATGCTGTGCAGTTCTCCTCACAAACAGACTAATGTCCCTCAATGCTTCTCACACCACCTCCGTCAGAAGCACGTTCTGTGAATGGGAGGACCAAAATTACTGGAGATCGCGACTTGCATCTCGCATGAAATCATATCAGTGTGCCCTGCAACAATGCAATCAATGCATCAGTGCACTACAATGCATACTTGCAAATAAGGGGTGCCACCACATCTCACTGCAGCGCATTAGAATGCCTTCCTCTTTTATATTGGTTATAGTCACTGCACAAAGCAATGTAAAAGGAAAGTTCAGGCATAACTCACGTGCGGGCATAAGTAAAGTCCGGGTATGGGTGAAGGCAGGAATGAGTGGAGGGCACGCATAGGGAAATGGTAAGCATTAGAATCTGTTTGAGAAATAAAGCATGGGATGAGTTCTCCTTGCACCACTGCCCCAACACTTCCCCACTAAAATACTGACATGGCTGGCAGCTCATGTGGCTGACATGCAAAGCATCCCCGCCATAAGCTGCAGCCTTTCCCACCCCAGCCATTCCTGTCGCCACCAGCCTCACCTCCCCCCATGCCATGCCATCATGGCAAGCGTCTGAGAGAGCACCTGGGGGCGGATATGGCGAGGGCAGGGGAAGAGAAGGTGGGGCCGGGGGGGGGAAGGGGGGTGGAGGGGGAGGAGGGGGGGTACGAGTAAAGATTCTTGAAAGGCGATTGTAGTGAATACAGCGCCTCTGCTGCCACCATCAGCCACCTCGTAAGAGGGGGGCTTCGGTAGGCGGGGGAGGGGATAGTAAAGAGACAGCAGGGAGATGTATAAATACACAGCAAAGGAGGGAGGGTGGGGCGCGGAGGGGGGAATTGGGCGATCGCACATCTTGCGGTTATGGTGTAGGTGATAAGGGAAGGAGGGAGAGTTGGTGGTTGAAGGTGCAATGGAACCAGTGCTGGTGCCTGGCTGGGATGGTGAGGGAGCACATGGGAAGGTGATGGCGGGCAGAAGAGGATAGCCCGAATGGGGAGGGGAACTTGATCGATGCAGGGGTTTGATGCCAGAAAGGGCATGGGATGATGGGACGAAGGGCATCATACAACGTGATGCATGGGTTGGTGGTGCATTCAGGTTAAGATTGAATAAATATATGTAATAAGGAAGGGAGGGCGGAGGGAGAAAAGGGAGATGAGAGGGAGCAAGCAAAAGAAGAGCTTGCAGAAGGAAAGGAAAGGAGACGAATGAAGACGAGAGGAGAGCTAGGTATGTCAGGAGGAAGCGAGGGCGAGAAGGAATGTGGGTGCAAGGGGAAAGCAGGAGAGGGAGTGGTAGGCATTGTGCGACTGCTGTCATGCTGTCATACACTGCCCAGGAGGGTGGACAGCTCCTTGTGCCGCAGTGCCACTTCACCCTCTCTCGGCACCCACCATGTGTGGCCTCATCACTACAGTTTGCGCCGCACGAGCTTTGGAGAAGCTTGTATGCAAGCGGAGAAGAGTGAAGGTCGCAGTTGGCTTAAAAAGGGAGTTAAGTTTTGGTGGCAAAAAAACGGGGGGGAGGGGATTCAGGGAGAGAGGGGGTTGCGAGGACGAAAAGGGTGTTTGGACAACAGAGGAGGGAATGAATGCAGATAGAGAAAGAAAGAAAACAATTGAAAGCAGTCTCTTCTCCCCGTGACTCGCTTTACTCACCGCCACAACTGCTGCTGCAAACCGTGGCTGTCTAAGTGTCAGGCTGCCAGGCAGTGTGCTGCTGCCATGAGCTGGCCTCCTTACGGTTAGTAGGCATGTGTTGCTGGGAAAGGGGGGGGGGGGGGGGGGGTGGTGGGGAGAGAGAGCAGAAGAGGGAGCGGCAAAGAAAGAGGAAGCAAATTATGCTCCTCCATTTTCCGCTCCTACTGCTTGCATCTCTGCCTGATGCACTCCTGCAGATGTGGGAGGGAAGGGGGAGGGGAAGGTGGAAAGGGGAAATCGACTAGGGAAAGGGGAAGTGGGGAGAGGGAAGGGGAAAAGGGGAGGAGGGAGGGAGGAGGAGAAAGCATGTTGATTTTGCTCCTCCATCTTGGGGTCCTGCTGCTTGCGCCTCCACTTGAGGCTTTTCTGGGGCTGTCGGGGATGGGGAGATGAAAAATGGAAAAGCGGGCAAGGTGACAAGGGGAAAGAGGAATACAGCAAGGGCAAACAAGAGGGGTAAGGGAGAGAGAGAACAAGCAGCTCTGTACTGAATGGGGGAAGGGCATAAGAATTGGTGAGAGGGGAGTGGGAAAGGGCAAATACCTGGCAATCAGCAGGTGAAGGGGCGCATTTCCAATGCAACAGCAAGAGCGAAAGAGACCCTACCAGCTGCAGTTTTCAAGAAACAGTGTGGGGGAAACGAGAGATGTCTCAAAGACACCTACTAGTTGCAGCTTCTGGTGAATGAGAAAGGTGGCGGTGTTAGGGGGCCCGTCAGCAATGACCCGAGAGATGGGCAGCGCCTGCTCGCGGGTGAACTTTTACCACAGTGCCGCCACGGCTGCGAGAGGGGTAGAGGTGAGGATGCAAGGGGGCAGAGGGCCAGGGGTGAGAGACGAAAGAGAGGGGGCAAGGCAACGCAAGGGTCTTGCTCTGCGCACTTCCACTACAGCTACCGTGTGAACCCTGATACCAGCATCACGGTAGGAAGAGGTGAGCGGTGGGCAGAAAGCAGGATGTGATGGCGCACAGGAGAGCATGATGCAAGATGCGGGGGCTACGAGATGATGCCACAAGGGGCGCAGCAAGGGGAGGGAGGGCGGGGATCACATTGGATGTTGCAGGTGCCGACGCACAGCACGTGCAGCGCAAAGGCGTGAGAAGATTGAATCCATCGGCGCCGTCTTGCCAATGTGCA